AAAAACTAACAAAAATACTGATAAGATAATAATGATACGAATTCTACTAAGAACAACAATATAAAACGTACTACGGATTAATGAGCTACTGGATTCATGAATATTAATCAGGTTGTGTGCGTTCGCTCAAACTGATTTGCTGAAATCAAAACAGGGATGATAATAGGCGAGCGCCAGCCAATGAGATTGCCGTTTGCGCATTAGTTCCGCCCACTAGCGGAGAAAGCGGTAGTTCTTAAAAGCGGAAGAATTCCAAAAGGAACTCAGTTATTTTGACAGCAAAATACAACAAAGAATATCGTTTACATGTAGCGCGTCAATTCTTTCTCTCCCTCTCTCTCTGTGCGAGTGTGAAACAAAGCGAAGGCGAGTCGTGCGCCTTCATAGAGTTTACGGTGTGTTAAATACAGGTGCGTTGCACATCTATTGAGATTATCTGAAAAACAGCGCAGATCGCTTGACGGTAGGCATGGGACGATAACCGGTTTCAAGGTATACCGCGGTTTGGAAAAGTCACGGTTTCAAAACCACTAAAATTTTCTGTTATACCGTTCCTGCGGTATGTGCAGTTTTTTTACGTGTCGTCAAGGACGGAAAGTGCAGGACTCCCTCAGCTGTGTGCAGCGAAGAGCGTAGCGAGTCACACGACCCCTCCCCCTCCGGTTGGTGCGAGTGGAGTCACCAGTGTGTAGGATAGCTGGAGGAGATGAATCCCTGGAACTTTTTCCCCCGTTGAAAAAGATTAAGTCTGTCGTATGGGAATTTTTCGGGTAACGTAGACTAACCATGTTCCGTACACAATGATGTTCCGTACAGATGACCTTTTAGCGTCGATCGCTAAATAAATACTTCCAAGTTCTTAGGATCTGTATTATCTTTTAGTAAGATTAAGACCATTGTACCACTTGCCCTGAAACTATTCAAATGAAACCAAACATGACTGTAAATCTTATTTGCATTCATTTAGAACATTATATTCTTGACCAGTTTGAGTGAAAAGGCACAGATGCATATGTGAGAGAGGCGTTTCCCGCACCACCCCTCTGTGGGGTGTCCTGAAGATGCCAGTGCATTGTTTGCCTCTCAGGAGATCAAAGTATTCTAGTTTCTTTTATCCTTACACATGGACAACTACAGGTGTCACCGACATGCATCATCTCTCAGAGAAGGTGAAAAAACCACGAAACTAAATAACCCTCTACACACACCTTGGCAATATAATCACCGTTGGCTAGTAAATTCTTTAGTTTACTCGCCAGACTGATATACACACATACATACATACATACATATATATATATGATTCCACCAAATCAGCTTATCTTTGTAAAATGGCACAGCTTCTTAAATCTTAGCTTCTAAATCAGTCAATCAAGCATTATCTTATGATATTATGATAATTAAGTACAGCAAAGCGACAGCAAGTCGCGCACCTTCACACTAGAGTTTACGGTGTGTCAAATACAGGTGCGCTGCACATCCATTGAAATGAATTTAAATAGTACAGATTGCTTGATGGAGAGCAACTCTCAAGCGCTCAGTCAGAGTGTTCAGCGAGTGAAAATATATCTGTGCTAAACTTGTACTTAGCCTCCAAATCACACACTGGCGAGTAAAATCTGAGAATTTATTAGCAATTGGCTAATATTAGACATAATTTAGTCGCATATGCGAGTGATTTACTCGCAATGTAGAGGGTTGATTACACAACTCTAATCTGCTAAAATGCTATAATTCTTTATGCACCAAGAGCTTGTAACACTCCAAAGAGAAAGGAACAATTGAAATCGCATCATATGACCCCTTTAACATCATGAATAACGTATTGTGAAAAGCACTTAACAAATAAATTTGACTTGACTTGAATAAATGCTTAGAAGTAATTGAAAAGGTGTCATCAGAGATTTCTTAAGGAGTTTAATTGCACAATAATAGTCCATCATGGATTTTTTTTTAAATAATGATGCACAAGTCTCCGCAAATGGTTGCATAAAAACACTAAAGAAAATTGAGGAAAACATGTACACACTATCAAATCCAGTTAATATTTTTTTTCTTAAAAGCACTCTTTGTATTAATCTGGTATTGTGTAAACTTGTGCAAAAACCTATGTGCCCTTATTCCTAAAAGCTGCCTAATGACAGCCAGTTTCCAGTTTTGTGTGTAAATATATGATTTGTAACCTGAGTGCATGCCTTTCTGAGGGTGAAGCTAGTCTTGTGAGATCAACAATATGTGAAATTAAAAATAAGTCGTCAGACTTCACATGATTTATTAAAGTTTAACAATGAGATTGGTCATGGCATGTTACCTTTTTGAGAATGATATCGATGTAACCAGCGATGAGTTGCGCAATCTGCTCTCCTTCAGTGGTCTGAACAGAGTAGTAACCATCCTGATAGTCTCCAAAGTCCTGAAGAAGGAATTGCCATTGTTATTGAACAGTGAATTGCGCATTCATACATTAGGCTGTATAAAATGAGTAAATATTTTCTTAGGTTTAGAAAAAAATTAAATTTTTAATTTCACGGTGAAATTACATAGCAGGCATGGAATAGGTCCACTCTAATTCACAATGTTTGAGAATTCTATGCAGCAAGAAAAAAAAACAATCTAATGAGAGTGTCTGAGTGTGTAGTAACAGAGAGCTGGAGGACGGAAATAATTCATTTAATGTAATCAATAAGTCTGCCAGAGTCTAAATACTGAATTACTGCTGTGCTTCGTGATGCATAAACAATGTTCAGCATTGATAAATGCTTCAGTCTATTACAAGAAACAGGAACTGATTTTGTCTGTCGCAGCTTTAACATTCTGGCATGTGTCTGAAAATATTATCGGGCATTATTCGTTTCCTAAACTGGGATTAGTGAGGGAACTGAAAGAGGTTTGTCAGTTGATGAAAAGCTAATACTGAATTAAATCATAAAAATGTACAATTAAAATGAATGCATTTAAAATAAAAATACATCACTTAATAAGAACACAAAATATTGTGTTCACCTGTATATCTTGTGCCCATTAACCCAGAGAACCATAAACATGTAAATGTGTTGTTAGATTATTGAAATATTAACTGTAAATCTCAAAAAATATTTAAAAGTAAAGATTTTAGTTCAAAGAGGCTCAGCTGACAAAAGTTTGGGAATCTGTTGTTAGAGGATGATCTGTTCTTTTCCAAAAAAAAAAAAAAGGTTTCCTGTTAGAAACAGCCACTTTAACCTATCTCTGATACACGAACTTCATAACTCACATAATATATAGTGATTGTGTATAATTGTGCCCTTGATGTCAGAGCTAAAAAAATAATGTGAATCAAATTTCCTGTGGACACTAATCTGAATCATAAGGTAAAAATTAAGTAACAAAGTCATCGTAATCGTAATAAACTCACTGCCAAAGGATCATCACAAAACTATTAGAGGACAGCACGCTCTGCACAAAGGCTGGCTTGAAAAACAAACCTATGTACTGGGGTGAAGTTGTTTACACACCCTCTTGTCATTCCAAAGACTTTGGTTCATCTTCAGAAATTTTATGACTTCTTTTTGTAATTTTTGGCACCTTAAACATTTTGGTCGTGTGGATTTTCAAAGGATGGACATAAATGACGAAATTTTCATTTTAGGGTGAATTATATTATTATACTGTTAACCTAAACAATCCTAATTTTCACCAAAATGGACCAAATCAAACCGAAACGGTGACCACAGAGCTGTGAAACACCCTTAGCACACATCATATCCACAGTGTCAAGTGTGAGTTATTATCAGAACACAGTGTGTGTGTTTAGAGGAGTGTGTTGGTACCAGCGTGAAGCTCTTGGGAGAAGCGGCCCAGCGTTTGATGTTGGTCAGACTCCACTCCTGAATCACCTCTTTGGTCTTCTCATCCACTCTCATCACACACTCTTTAGTGATGCCCAACAAACGCGGAACAAGCTTATTCTTTCCTTTCATTTTTTCCTGTAAAGAGAATAAACATTAGCATTAACACAAGAAAGCAGGAGCCATTTATTAATATTAGAGCTCAGATAAGGCGTGAGATCTTTACCTTGACTAAGAAGAAGGACACTCCATAGGTTTTCAGAGATCTGGCCAGTTTGACGTAGCTGACTTTGGCCTCAATCTCTGTCATGTTTTGGCAGTTTTTGTGTGCCTTAAAGAGACAAGTTTATCATTAAATTAAAATTCATATAGCGCATAGTGCTGCGCCTAACATGTGTACGAAAAATTCACTCTATTCTAATTCTATTCTTTAAAAAAAATTATATTTTGTATTCCATTCGTTTTCTTTTTATTTATTCTACAATTAACAAAAAAGGCCTCTAACACTAGCTTGCTCCATTCGTTTTCTATTCTATCTGTTTTCTTTTTATTTATTTATTATATAATATAAAAAAATCCTTGCTACGTGTACTGCATTAAGCTAACTGAGACTTGTCATAGCACTTGCATATTATTGCTCTTTTGTTGGTTTTGATTGCTTCCATTGTCCTCATTTGTAAGTCACTTTGGATAAAAGCGTCTGCTAAATGACAATGTAAATGTATGTAAATGAAAAAATAATAAATTACACATAACCTGCATAACCTCACCTGGAAGATCTTTTTCTCACCCTTGTTCTTGATGTACTCTTTGGGCAAGAATTCTTTCAAACTGGATGAGACAGACATGAATCAAGAATTAGTTTTATTTTCATTAATATTTTGAGAATGAAAGGAATCTGGACTGGTGAATAGCAGTAGCTTGTGCTGGGAACTGATGTATAAAAACAAGATCATGATTTTACAACTCAATCCAGTACAGTGATGGCTGATTAATAGTAGTGCTGGAAGTTTAACAAAAGTCACGTTTTCAGTTCGTACTGTAAGTAATTTAGTCAAAAACCGGACATGTGAAATATCATGCACACATGAAATATGGTTATTACTCATAGAAACAGAGGTAATCTCATCAACTCTGTTCCTGATGAAATTAACAGACAAGACATGACATAACATAACAGACAAGACATGACATGGCTAAACTATTACTACTACTGTTTATAAAAATATGATTAGAAAAAGCAAAAAAACAAAAGAAAGATTTTATGCAAATAAACCAATATTTTAAGAATTGATTGATCGAGCCGAAACTGCCTGTACTTTTAACTTACTCAAACCTAACAGTAAACATAACCATGAGTGTAAACTTAAACAAATTATGTTATTGTACATTTGAGTTCAGTGTTTGGATTTCTGTTCTCGCGCAGTTTGAGAAATGCAGAATTTGTTGGTTTTGAAGGCTCTGATGGCATTAACTACCACGTAATTAGGTGGTTAAATAGTGATTAAACATTTTAATTAAAGCAGTACACTCACAGATACAGATAAAGCAAGGATAAATAGAAATGTGTTGAGCTCACTCAAGGAATCCTGGTTTGTGTTTCAACTCATTGTGGTCTCCGAACTGGATCTGGCACTGATATCCGGCAAACTCACAGGCCTTATCAAAGGAGACAGGGTGGGAGCCGTTCAGGATGTCATCACGGGCCTGGGATACAACATACAGTGCGTAAATGCAATAGCACTTAAAACCTGGAAAAGTCAGATTTTCATGATATGTCACCTTTAAAGAATAACACAAGATGATGTGGAAAAAGAACTCAATTCAGTTTTCGCCCCCTGTCTGATAAGCGGTTTTCTGTGCACACACCCCAAATGTTTATTTTATTTGCATCTTTGTTTTACTGTATTTATTTGAGCTACTTACTTAGTTTTTTTAGAGTTACTGTCGTGAAACTTATTTGTTCTTATTACGGTTTACTTGTCTTTAATAATGTTTGAACCACTAATTGTTGCTGTGGTAAGGAAACAAGAACTGTAAAATGTTCCAGGTATCTAAAGTTTTAGTCATAACAACCTTATTTATTAGAAAACAAGGTTACAAAACAATGAAAACAATTACTTATTTTTATTTTGTGGCAGAGCCACTGTTCCAACTGGGCTAGAAACTAGAAAAAAAATCCTTATCGCCGAGTCCTGCATAAATGACATGTTTTGGATTTAAAAAACAACTACTGTCGCCAGTTTCAAGCACTAGAGACACTGCTTGGCTTCCAAAAACTTTGATTTTCTTCCTTAAGTGATTAGGTCAAACATTCCCCACCCCGATCTTCAGCGACAGCGCCACCATGACTGACACTACGGGACTGTGCCACTGCTACTCCTGCAAAACAGACATCACACAAACTCTCAACACTCTTTTCAGGCTAACAGGATGACATTATTGATGATTTAGACCAGTGGTTCCCAACCCTGGTCCTGGAGGCACCCCAAAAACTGCACGTTTTGCATGTCTCCAAACACACCTGATTCAGGTCATCAGCTCATTAGTAGAGACTTCAAGACAAAGCCAATAGAAGGCAAGCCTACAACCACTAGCCAAAAAATCATAACAGCTAAAGTTAACGCTTCCGGTCTGGCAGTATGTGGGGAAAGGAGACCAGAGGCCGTTTTGTTTGAATGGATGTCAATGGAGGAGAGGCTTCACTACAGCTTTTTAGAGGAAACGGCTTATTTAATTAATCGACAGCCTATCTGCTAATCTTCAACATGTTTTACACTAAACAATACTTTTGGACTGTACTACGAAAAAAAATGCTGTTTTATAAGAGAAGTCACTGTTCAGTTTACGGCACTCTCATTCATTCCTATGGGATCCGTAAACAGCGATTGAGTGTCGCACAGCTCTGACTGAAATTCAATGACGTCAAGGCTGTAATGTGATTGGTTATTACACAACACGTGATCCAACTTAGCCGTTACGCTTTCTCCAATAGTAAGTAATACAGACCCTCTAATCTCCCTATAGTAAGACAATCTCTGGTCCAAGATCTGAAATTAGTGTGTCAGAGAAAGGAGACATGCAAAACGTGCTGTGTTGGTGTGCCTCCAGGACCAGGGTTGGGAACCACCAATTTAGACTAATGTTCACTTCTTGATTAAAGCATCACAGAAAACTGAATTATGAAACAGATTGCAGGACAGCGTAAAAGTAACACTAAACAACTATCAAATAACAGTTAAAGTTTTTTTAAGTTATTTTTATGGGCTTTTTATGCCTTTTTATTGAGATAGGACAGTAGAGAGATGACAGGAAATTACTGGGAGGAGAGAGGTGAGCGGGATCGGCAAAGGACCTCGAGACGGGAAGCGCTAACCACAACCACAAGGCTATTGGCGCCAACTATCCTGCTTTGTTTAGTAACTAAATACTACCATTTTTTTTTACAAGTTTAATACATTGCTATGTAAATTATGCATTGTGTTTTCTCACACTTTTCTGTTGTTGATGCAATTATGCGTGAGAAAAAGACAGAGAGAGGCTGAACTTCCCTGTTAGAGGGGGATTTCACCCTGAGATTTTACCAGAAAAAAGGAACAAAGTAAGTCCTTTTTCACTTTTACTTAAAGTTCTATTTTAAATACCAGTCAAGTAAGGCAAAAGCACACCACACGATAACTCCTACATGAAAGTCCACTAATACTACTTTAAATTCCTCTGCTCTGTTTGCAAGAAAAAAGTCTGTACGTCAAGAGCAAAACAAGATGCAATCACATTAATGATACCACAACAGAGAATCCCAATCAGAAAGAACATCAGAGAGAGAAAACATGAGTCTCCTACATGAAGTCAATGTCAAGTAAAAGACAAACACTAGGCCTATATATTAAAGAAATTAGAAAAATATTCAAAAAGCCAAACTGTTCACTCAGAAGTTTTTGGTGTGTTTATCTTTCCATATCCTTTCTTGTACATCCCCAAGAAAAAATCCCTAGCTATGGGAAAACACCTCAGTGAAGCAGAGGAATGCTGGCCAAGATTAAACAACAGCAATATGGGATAGGAGCGATAATGCATCCCATTCTATGGAAAATGTGATCTATGATGAGATGAAGATGAGCTGTCGTTGGAAGAAGAAGAAAATATAAGGGTGTAGATGCAAGAAGAAACAGAAACTACTGTTATAGCAAAGAAGAAACGAGACAAACATAGTAGTCCTGAGCATCCACTAGGGCTGGGCAAAAAAATAGATTTTTCGATTAATCGTTTTTTTAAATGACGTCGATTTGATATTGATTCTCAAAAGCCGCAAATCGATCTTTTCCGGGATTTATTTCAGCACACATTTAAAACAAGATCTGATTAACGTGAATCTTATCATTAGTCTTCTCCACTAGATGTCCCCCTTATTTACCTTGTGCGATGTTACAACAGAAATCCTGTCATTCATTCAGCGCTCATCATGGCCATCCGCGTGATTCGCGATGCTCAGGTGAAGTGCTATAGTAATACTATAAACCTGCGGAAGCATTTGATATCACGCATAAGGTGTCGTGATTTCCGCAATGAATGAATGAATGAATGGCGCGGCGCACTGTTTTGTTTACTACACATACTAAAGCTCGTATGACGCTCGCGGTGTTTTCAGCTTCTGCCGTCTCACTATATGATGAAATGAACACGAATGTCATCTCCAGCTGCTCTGAGTGTCACTTCATTAGCATTTTACCGTTTCATTTGAGAAATCTACCGTCATATCACATACACAGCAGCTGCAGGTTCTTCACGGCAACCCGTCAAAATAAAAGTTTAGTTTAACGTTAAACTGTCAGAATATATTGCTATTTAGCAGTCTTAAGAATCAATGCTACTACTGCTAATAAATATTAATACATCTTTATTTTTAAAGGAATAATCACATCCGTTTTCTTTTTCATTTTAACAGTAAACCTCTGTTGTGCAGCACTTTCTTTGCCAAAAAATAAAAGGGTTTAATTTTCATTTGATTAGGATAAATTAAATTAATGTTTTATGCCTCTATCTGATTACCAGAAAAATTAAGAACATTTTATAGGTCCCTATAATTTTTTTTTTTTAAAATGACCCATACAGAAAAAAGTATAGGTTTAAAATACAGGCATGTGGTTCTTAATTTCTTTTTATTAATTCACCATTTGTAAACTGATGTTTACTGTAAATTTTTTAGAAATATCAATAGCATTTGTATTAAAACTATATTCACTGAATGTAATCAAAAAAATCGAGAATCGAATCGAATCGAGAGCTTGTGAATCGAATCGAATCGGAACATCTGAATCGATACCCAGCCCTAGCATCCACATCACACAGAATCTATTAAAACAGGAACCGATCATTGGTCAGAAACAAAAATAAAGAATTCTGGGAGCAAAAGATCAAATTATACCTATATTCATCATTCATAACTGAATTTTTCATGACCATGATATAGTATTAGTATTAGCAAGTCTGCATGTTAAATATCTTCAACAAAATAAAAATAAAACGGCATAAACGTGAAATTTAAATGTTTATATACAGCTCAGTTTTAATTAGAATTTTGAGTGGATTCTTAAATAAATTTGATTAACTGATTCATTATTAAATAAACTTTTTTTTTGTTTAGTTTTTGGATAAGTGAAAAATTTAATTTAGGTTTCTATTAAAAAAATTTGGTGCATCACCTTTAAATTATATTTTGTTGACTATTTGTGGATTTTCACTGCAAAGATGACACAAATGCATTTATTTTTTATTAATGAATTATTTAAAGCTGCTGTAAATGTTGTCATTTTTAGCCTTAATGATGAGAAGTCCCATAAATTCTGATTGTGAAGGCTACAGTACATCACAATACATACAAACAGTTTTATTTATTTATTGATTCATTCACTTTTATATTGCTTTATATTGCCCTTTAAACCTTTATCAGATGCTAATTTCCTGTAAGGTTAACCTAAGAACACTGTCACAAATCTAGTGTGAACGGCAATGTTGAGGTCAGCTGTGTTTATGAGCTGTGCAGAGAATGGACACACATTCCTGAGGAGGGTGAGTGCGAGTGTGTGTGTGTGTGTGTGTGTGTGTGTGTGTGTGCGCGCTCTCGTTGGGAGATCAGTACACAGTCTTCTCTCTGGGGAAGCATTCCAGCTGCCCGATCCGAGCTGTGTGTCTGTGTTTTGGGGGAGGAGCTGAGGAGGGACACTTCTCCACATACTTCCAGCATTCCCTTCATAGTCCAGTGTAACACTCCCACCAAACCAAAACAAGTGAAGGAAGAAAACAATGCCATTCTGATAGAACAACATACTCCTAGCATAAAGACACTACGGGCATATAAAACAAGGCTACTTGACTAGTCTGTGTTAAAGCTGTTGTGCGTAATTTCCATGCCACTAGAGTCACCAAAAGGAATTGCACAACAGAACACTTTTCGAAAAGTTTCTCAAACCCTCCTCCATAAGCTATTCACGGGACAACCACATTAGTCCCGTCCAAAACTCACTCTACCGAGTTGCTTTTTTGTTGAGAAAGTTGGAATACTGAAATGAACACAGCAATGATTTGAAAGTGTGCCAAACTTTTGGTTGGAAAAACAAACATTTAGTTATACAAAACAGTTTGTTCCAGTCCTCAAATTTTATTGGCATGTTCTAAGTGGTCTGACTGTTTGTATCACTGCACTTGTCTGTTTTCACAGTGTTACAGACTATGAGAGCGGCGAGAGGATTTGCCTATAGCAAGGAGAAAAAACATGGTTGACATTGTTGCAGTGCTTTATACTCCAGTCCAGTAGGTGGCAGAAATGCACATTTTACGCTGGTTTCCGAAGTAGCACTTAAACAACATGAACGAGTAAATGATGACAGAACATTCACTTTTGGTCAGGCATCTTTAGCAGCGTCTCACACAAGAGATGATCTAAAAATGTGCCACTCAAGTTAAAGTTTTGACGTTTGCAGGGGGTTTTTCATTCCACTGCGCCTCGCGTTTTTAACCACACAAATTTAGTTAGAATGACCCCTATAACTGTACATACAGACAAACTAAACAAAACAACAACAAAATCAAATTTAATAAGTATGACTTCAGGTGTCTTGAAATATATTGTCAAAGTGGTGGATATTACTGCTTTATGCCTGTAGTGATAAAATGACATTGATAAAAGCAACTGATAAAAATCTTTTCTGGT